GGTTTTATTGCTGACCATGATGCCATATGGTACAGAATATCCCTTGGGTCAGTTGGGGTCAGCTGTCCTGGCTTTGTCCTCTCTCAACTTCTTGTGCACCCCCAGCCTCCTCGCTGGTGGGGTGTGGAGAGAGGCAGAAAAGGCCTTGACACTCTGGAAGCACCGCTCAGCAGTAACTAAAACATACCTGTGTTATCAATACTGTTTTCAGCACAAATCCAAAACACAGCCCCATACCAGCTACTGTGAAGAAAATTAACTACCCCAGCCAAATCCAGCACATACATGCATGTGCTATATAAGACACAAGGACATTAATCCTCTTAATTGAGCAGAACAAATTTAAAGGCTGTACAGTTATTTTCCTGCCTGACATTGTGGACACTCGGACAACGAGAAATGAGTGTCATTTCCCGGTGGAGAAAATCTCTACAGTAGATAATCTCCTTCAAGATCCATATACTGGCCTATAGCTTCAGTGCCTCTGGATCAAGAAGGAATTGAAACCAAAAAGGAGGTTAAGTGCTGAGTACTGCACTGTCTAACTTATTCTTGGCCTTTGGACTGGAATCTCAAAGCATGTCCTTGGTGCCTCTGCTATGCATGCAGATGTACCTCTCTGATAGCTAGATGGATAGAGAAAGAGAGAGATAGAGAGACAGAGAGATAGACAGAGCAAGCTATGCACTTAAGAGTAGGCTCCAAAACAGCTGATGTGCTGAGGGAGAAGGACACTGCTACAGTTGGAAAAAAAGAAGTTGTTTTAAAGCCATCTCTTTCTGTAATCCCATCTCTTATTCCATGATTTAGGTGGTATCCCTGATATACTTTTTCTTTAAAGTTACTCTTTCATATAAGAGGCTAGTTTACTTTGTGAGGCTGAGGCACCCCTTTCGTTTCTGTGCAAGCTAGGCCACTGAGCATCAGAGGTTTCCACAATTGCCAGTGCACACAGACAGCACACAAAATGGACCCTGAGTCACTGGCCGTGGTGTTTCTGCAAGTACTCTTTGTGAAGTTTTAATTTATAAATTAATTAATTTATAAATTAAGTTAATTAATAAAGCTGTTTCAGCAGCCATCACAGCAAGGACTTGAGGTTTCCCCATCTTTCAGATTGCATTTAAGCAAAAATGGATGTAAAAAATAATAATAATATCCTTGGAAGTGATAACAGTCTTGTACAAGTAAGTCTTCATCACAGTCTTCTCCAAAGCCCTTTTGATCTTCTTTCAGGCTGTCGTTGCCATGTGACATCCACAAAGTGGGGCAAAGTGGGGCAAACACAGTTATTTAAAACATCGTCTTCTTTACAGAAGCTATCGGATTAGGCTGTTCGAGTTAATCCCATTTAACGTCTCTGGAGGCCCGGCTCAGAGCAGCAGGGCTGACAGGTGCTCTGCATCACTGGGAGCCAATGCTCCCACTCCAGCAGGGCACTTGGCACTTGCAGAGCCAAACTCCATTCCCTGCTTTCAGCCCTTGCTTTTATACCCGAGGCAAATGGGATCTATAGGGGGCTTTGGTGTACAGTGGGTGAATACAACACCTATTCCATATAGGCCACTACGTATGCTAAAGGTTATTTGCAGGAAGGGGAGCTCTGTTTTCAGGATGAGCGAGGCTTGAGTTAGTGAGCTCTTGCCTCAGAGATGACTTCCAGTGTTTTGCCCTCGGTGCTTCCTGGTGGGTGAGGCAGTGGTGGCACGTAGCTCCTGTGACAGGAAGAGATGATGACCCTGACAGGTACTGCTGGCCCGGTGGGTACGTGAAGCTGCCCAGTGCATGAGGTCAGTGCAGCAGTGAGCAAAGTATTTATAATGACCGTGCTGTACTGCCCCAAGCTGCGTTCCTCAGCGGGCGCTCAGCAGGCCTCCAACATCGCAGCCATGAGCCAGGCGGGTGAGTAAACTCCTCCCGAGTGGCTCCTCTGAAACTGAGGGGGCGGGGGTGGCAGTGGGGGGCCAAGATGGCGGGGAGGGGCACCTCACAACGCCCCCATCGAGAGACTACGGAGACCAGGGCAGGAAAGCATACTTAACGCTTCTTCAGCAGTGCAGTGAACAGAGATG